AAAGAGAGAACACAAGTCATCATTTAAAAACATTGATTGGCAAACTCATTCCAATTGGACCATTTCTGACAATATAATCCTCTGGGTTTAATATATTAGCATAACAAAATGTTCTGGTGTGTTTAGCTAAACTTTTACACTTTCTTCTATCTATAAGCGCCTCTTTCTGGTATATGTGGAACTGGAAGCTTCAGGAGGCAGGAAATTACACTCACCTGCATCCAGAACTCGCCTGGGCCTGTCACAGCAGAGCGTCCCACCTCCACAAAGAAGAAGTTTTCTGAATGTCCGCAGCGTCTCACGTTCATCAGCTGCAGCACCACGGCGGCGGCGTCAGAGTTCAGCTTCACAAAGTTGACCGTCTTGTCGGTCAGACAGAGGCGGTAGATGCCGACCAAGTTCTTGGCCTGACCCAGACCCTTGGGCCACACCTTCACCTGCCACACCTCTTTGAACGCAGGTCCAGGATTGGGCGCTCCGTAGTCGCTCGTTGCCCCGCTGTCAGTGGGAATTTTACCTTAGGGAACAGAAATGGTGGACGATTAAAGGTTGCTTGGGTAAAAAAAACGTGCACAAAAAACTGCTGCAACAGCACTGAGGCAACCTTCATGCACCTGTGAACAAAGGATCTGCGAGGTGAAACCACCTCTATTTACCTGTGACCGATCAGCAAGGTGCCTGTATTATCTCAGCCTTGCTGATGCCGAGCTTTTTACTGATTTTTAAACCAGATCTGAGGTTCAGACCAATCGTGCACCAGCTTGTGGCTCTGCCTCTGTACCTGCAGGCTTCATATCTGAGGCCTCATTTGTCAACCACAGCGGCATACCAAGTCCCAACACACACACACACACACACCCGACCAGAGTGGAAAAATTACACTGTTGACAACTGAAGTGCCACATAAGAATGATGACTATGAAAGAAAAGCAACGATTATGTAAAAAAAAAAAAAAAAAAGAGTGGAACAACTTGTGAAAACCTTCCCAAGTGAATCTTCTCTGAGGTGGCGCTCTAAAAAGGTTTCCTCAAGAGCTCAAATGTCTTTGCAATCTCATAAACTGCAGTTTCTTGCATGTCTGGGGAATGAAATGTGTGTTATTATCCGGAGAAAGTTCCTTCGGTCTGTGGCATTATGGCGATTAGTCTCAGCTGGCAATGACGGCAGCTCTGAATGCAGCACAGATTTACCTCCAGGTTCACACGACCACCCCACAAAGGACCCAGCATCTGTTGACTGAGCGGGATTACAAAGAAAACCATTATGTGACTCATGTGTTGGGTGGATTCCTATTCTTTTTCAAAAGAAAAACACCCAGAAAGTTCCTTCAACCCCTATCCTCCTGTGTGCCACATTTCTTGGTTTTCTGTCCTCCTGCCAGGCTGGATGTGTCTGAGTGTGATATCAATCTGCAGCCCAGGATAAATTAACGTCTAGAAGAGAGACGGATGAAGAAACAAGCCTCTATAAAAAGGCTCACCTGCCTCCTTAATGGGAACAGGATGTCCTTTGTGCATTAATGTTGAACTTGAACACCTGTCTTATTAGCCCGGCCCATCTGGCTCTGATGGACCGAGTGTTTTTTGACGGCTGACAAAGTGAAGAGTCCAATTTTTTTTTAGAAATGTTTACGTGACAGTCTGCCGAACAAGCATGAATACAGTTTTACAGGAAGAGCAATCTGATACGACTCAGTGTATTTTCTTCCAGTTTTCTCCCCCAAAAATGGGAAGATTGCTCCCAACTATATAGAGCGAGTTTTGTTCAAAGCCAGCGAGATTGTGGCTTAGTGGCTGAATGTGGAGGCACTCCCCCCACATTAGATGACTCACTCAAGGCCGTGTGTTGCTGTTTCATGTACTGTTCTCCCTCCGAGCAAGGAGCCCTGTTTGCTTCCTAGATTTAGATTTACAACAGGAAGAGGCGGTTCGGGGACTTTTCAGTGGGGACCGAGCGAAAGAGGGACCGCGTGAGATTGTAAAGAGATAGCAGAGGGCCGTTTAGAAGGGGGAAAAATAAATGATCCCTTTGGAAGAAAAAGCATTTTGTGTTTTTTCTCCTTTGCCTGCTGCGTCCTGAGATCTTGAGAAAGCCTGCTTGCAGTAAAAAACTGCGTTTCCCCTTTCAAGAGCCCAATTACGGCGCCTTGAGTGGAGCACAAGCGTGGCGTTTGTTTTGAGTACGGTGCAGCTTGAAAGCTCAGCTGTGCCCTCATCAGCACGTCCACACAGAAGTGACCCTGATCTCAAGGCCACCCCGGTTTCACACACTCTTCTCAGAGGCAGTGGAAAGCTTTAAGAGCTTTTGATGGCTTGCACAAATGCGGGCCGACGCATCCCTGCCGAGCATTAGAGACCTTTGCCCGCGGTTACGCAACGCTGGAGACGATCCACAAGAGAGAAGCATGAATTATAGATCGGCCCGTGGCTTTCCTCCGGAGCGTTTCGCAGCACTGCAGATGACTGTTAGGAAAGCTGCGCGTGGATATATTTAGACTCCAGTTTGCTGGCCGGACAGCGCCGGCCTGCGCGGGGGGCTTGGTGACCCAGCAGAGGACCAGGCCCTGAGCCTAAATCTGGAGGCTGGACGCGGAAGTGTGCGAAAACTAAATCCACCTGGAGGTAACGGAGCTTTCGGGGTGGAGCCCGCTGGCACCGGCTCGCCTTTCCCTTAAGGGAAAGTCTTGTTTCATGGGTTTCCTAATTTTAGA